CCCTCTCGCCGCCCCCCCAGTCAACTAGTGGTCGTTTGGCAGACTGTACCCGGAGTGGAGGTGACCCCTCTTTAGAAACCTCCTCTCCCTCCTGGCCCCAACTTCGTTTTGTGGTATGATATACAAATCCGCGCCAAGCGGAAAAGGTCATTAGAAAAGGAAAGAAGCCGGCGTCCCAAGAGGGCTGGGAGGAAGCCCTCTCTCCAAGAAGCCCCCTCCGAGAGACGCTGACCTGGCCCGGGGCTGCCGCCTCTGCACTGGGCTACCCCATCTGTACAATCACTGGGGACGCTTCTCTTCTCGAGCGAAATGGTTCCAGAGTAGCTTTTGAGAAGAATTTCGGAGCTGGAGGGGAGGAGGGTCTGGAATCTAAACTTTGGTGCCAGGAGCTCCGGTTGTGTACGACAAACGATCCTTTTCCCGCAAATGAAACGTGGTGGACCGGGGACAGAGCATGGAGAGGAGGACTGTCCAGCGCGCCAGGGTCCCCAGACCGCGTTCCGGAGACGCCGAGGACCCCCTGCGGTCCAGAGCCCCACCCCCACCCCCAGCTGCCAGGCTAACGGGGAGGGCGGCTGGCCCGGGCGCTGAGGTCACCTTTTCCACTGTGCACGCCTAGAGCGGAGGGTTTCCGGGACTTTCGCGTCTGGAGGACTCGGCGGACCCAGGCACTGGGCTCCGCGGCTGCGCCCCTTGCCGAGGACTTCCCTTCTTTGGGTGCTGTGGACCCAGGGGTGGGGGAACCCCCATTCTCAGTGCACTCCTTTTACGGCCAACGTTGCTGTGCCGAAACACTTCTTTGAGAAGAGGGCGTCTCACCACAGTTAGCTTTTCGGTTTTCGCCTAAAAGGGGTTTATCTGCGCATTGCCTTTAGGATCCGGCAGAGAGATCTTCCTGAGTTGGGTGAGCTAGGGGCTGGCCCGCAGGGATTAGTGTCTTTGGCGGGGTCTGGTGCGAGTGGATCTCCCCCCACACCCCCACCCAGTGGCCTCATTCTCAGAATCAGCTGCTTCAGCCCTAAGCTTGGGCTTCAGGAAATAGCCCTGGCCTGCGTCCAAGGAGCTGGGGGGCGTACCTAGGGAACGGAGGGAGGGAGCCTGGGCTGCCCTAATCTTCTGATTCCCTCAAATGTAGAATAGAGACCTCCAATTTGAAAATTAACCCTCTGCCCAACCTGACCAAGGAGCTACGCTAGGAGGGGCACTAATAGTAAATTCAGTTTGGTCAGAGGTGATCCATGTTTGGAGTGATGGTTGGGTCCTCAAATATAGGACCCCAGGATTTATCTTTAGCAAGGTAGACTCTCAGGGCTGCAAGTGGATGGAGCCGAGATGCTTCACATCCTGGTGGATTCCCTCAGGGTCCAAATAAAAGGGGAGGGGATCGGGTAGGGGTTGACTGGACCTAACATCCTGAGAAGCCACCCCCAAACTTTGTCCTGGAAAACTGTGGAAGAGGAAAAGGAGAAGAGGGGCAGGTGGGCCCTGCAGGGAAGGGCAGGGTGGAGGCCAGGAGAAAGGGTCTGAGATCAATCTGTGCAGGGAACTGCAGAGTCCAGTCCTACTTCAATGGAGGGCCTAGGTCAGTCTGTGCTTCTGCTCAAAGTAGCTGGACTCCCTCCCCATCTAGGGGAGGGGGTGCACTGAGCCTACTCCTGGGCTGCAGAAGGGCTCTATCTGGGCTGGGGACTTGGGGGCAGAAGACACTAGCTTTCAGGAGATGGGCTGACTGCTAGGTCAACAGAAATAGGCAGGGCCTCTGTCTGTCCATCTCGCAGAGGCCTGCAGTGCAGGCCACCATCATTTGGAGTGAGTCCCACATCCTGAGTCCACATTATTCTAGTGAGTCCCAGTTCCCTTTGCAAAGAGCCTCAGCAAACCACGGTGTGGAATGGGAAGCAACTGGAGGCTACCTTCCTCTCTCCTGGCTGCGGCGAAGATGACCTGGAGGTTTAGAAAGTCAGCCACAACTGGGAAGGATTGGCCACAGGCTCTTAGGGGCTGAGTCACACCAGAGCTTCTAATAAGGCATCTTTGCCACACCCCCTCAGGAACGAAGGGTCTTGGCCATCTCCTGGTCTCCCCAGAGTCTGGGCCTAGTGCCAGTGACCTAGGGACCCTGCCAGTAGCTGGAGGAACTGCACCAACTTAGGGCAGGAGCACGGCCATGGGTTTGACAAACCCCATCTCCCAGAAGTAAGGACCGAAGCCCCCAACAGTGCTCACCACAAAGGAAGGAGGAGTGGCTCAGGACACCACCTGGGGGACAGTTGCTGACAGGGCTGGAAATAGGACCCATGACTGTGGGCAAGGGGAGGAAAAGAGGCAGCTCCTCCCTGAGCCTCCTAGGGACACCTTACTCTCCCTGCAGAGTTATCCCAAAACAGATTCAGTGGGGCCCATAGGTGGCAGGACTCTTTCTTTCTCAGTCTTCACAACCTCACAGGAGCCAAGTGTTCTATCTCCTCCAGACAGGTCAGGAGTCCAAGGCTCAGGAAGGGGCACCGGCTTGCCCAGCAACTTAGTGGAGTTTGGCTTTGGGGTTGTTCACCCACTGCTTGGGATTGTACACTCGTAATGACGAAGAGGAAGATCTAGGAAGGGACTGGCGATTTCCTCAATCTTGTGGGAGACAGCCTCAGAGGGAGCCGGAACCGCGCCCCCACCCACCGCGCCACACCCTAGCACCATGTCCTCTGGCCCAGCTCCACCAGGTAACGGTTTCTGTCAAGCTCCAAAGCTGGGGAAAGGTGAAACCGCATTTTTTCTTTCTCCTTTCCATCTCTTCCTCTAATAGGAGAATTTAGCCCAGCCCACAGCGTCCTGAGGTTGCCAAGGAGAAAATGTCCACCTACAACTAGTATTTGCGATTCAAGCAAATTCTAGCCCGAAAACTTTGTCCTCTCAGAGAGGCTCAGAGAGAAACGAGGCCGGGTGTGGTAAACTGAGGCGGAGGTGGACAGAGATGGTGATGCGCGAGTACGGCCGCCTGTGCGAGCTGCACCCTAGCCCGCTGCCGTACCCCTGCTGAGTGTGCGGTCCGGCTGCCTCTGTGCCCTCCGGCACGTCACGGCCCGCTGGCTCTCGCGCCACCCCGGTCTTTCTGCGCACGCCTGGACGGCAACCCGGCACCCTCACGTCGCAAACTCTTCTCTCGCGTGTCCCTCTCTGTCTCCCTCGGGACCCTCGCTCACCTCTGTCTGGATGACTCCGCCCCGCGTCTCCGGGCTCCCCTTTCCCAGCTCTCGGCTGTCTTTCCTGGGCTTGCGCTCCGCC